TAGGAAGGCAACTCTTTTTCAGGTAACGTCACTTACATTCGGTTCCATTACTTGCTTGTTCTACTCTTTTAAGAAACATAGATAATTTGTTTTGCTCTTTTTTAGATATTAGGGGAACTTCATTACAGGACTCAAACATTTACAAGAGAGGATGTGGGTATACTCAGCCCCACCCAGAGGAATTGCCCAGGAATACCCAGATACACGCATCCACTAACATAGACACACAGCCAGATGTCCAGACATGCACGTGTGCACCAAGATGCATATATACAAGCCCCCGCCCCAAAACCACATTCAGAAATGGTCCAGACACAGTGGCAACATATATTTACCCGGCCAGCTGAATCAACTGTAACGCTGTGAGGTATGTTGAACTTAGCAGGCCCTGTCCCATTTTCCCCATGCAGCCAAAGGATCATGTAATCTATAAATGGTAAACAGATATGGTCTGAACAACATAGAGAATACCTTAACCCATTTGCAATGTTCTATTTTACGTCCTAAGTTACAAACTATTCAATTATACCCCCAGCTGATTATGTTTTCCTGGCTTTCTGTTTATACATTTGTTTGTCTAATTTCCATGCTAAAAAAAAAATTCTATGTTTCAAGCAATTAATCCACTTCTTTGACGACCGTCTCCACTTGAATTTTTCAGAACTTAAAATCATTGTTTATGGTTCATATTAACCTCTTCCTCAAACTGGTTCTCCTTCATAACCAACCTGCTATTTGATATTACTATTTCTCTGAGTTTAAAAACTCACATTATGCTTTTATAGGGGGTCTTCTTTATTACCCCTGTAGTGGACTGAAGGTTCCCCCCACCCCTCAAAAACATGTCTGAGTCTCAATCTCCAGAGCTGTGAATGGACCTTATTAGAAATAGGGCCTTTACAGATACAATTAAGTTAGGGATCTTGAGATGAGATGATTCTGGATTCAGAGTGGACCCTGAATCCAACAACTAGTGTCCTTGTAAGAGAAAGGAGAGGGAGATCTGAGACAGAAATAGAGAAGAAAGAAATGTACAGACAGAGGCGGAGACTGGCGTTACGTCACGCTACCATAAGCCGAGAACTGTCTGGAGCCACTGGAAGCTGGAAGAGACAAGGAAGTGCGCTCCCTGGGCGCCTTTAGAGGGAGCGTGGTCTGCCCTATACAGTTCAGACTTCTGGATTCCAAAACCGTGAGATTACGTCTGTTTAAGCCACCGGAAACTAATACACTTATACTCCATTTGTCTCCTAAATTTGGTTGTTTCTTTCTTGCATAGAATTTTCTGGATTCTTGCTTTACCCGCACCTCAGCTCCCTTTAACTGTCACCGACCCAGTTCAGTCACTGGGTGATAAACTGACTACACAGCCTCCGAATGACAGCACTTACTGTAACAAGGTCCTGAGGTGCTATTTTGTCTTCTAAAAACTCTGCTTCTGTAACGTCACCTGCCACCTCAGACTTTTTATAGGCAAAATTATAGCTTCAAAAGCCTTAGATACACTTTCAAGGACACCCCAAATCATATTTTGTACTATCCAAAGAGCATCCTAAGCTCCTTTCCTGAAAGACCTGCCAAGTCCCACCTGTAGACCTTGGGCGATTAAAGCCTTGTGAATACTCCTCCCATCCCTCTCTTCTCCCCTCACCATAATCAGTTCGTTCAAGAACTATTTCCTTCATAACTCTTGCCCTACCTCTCCAGCCAATAATAGTTTCTCCTTCTCCTAACTTTATTTTACTTTAACGATCAATAACATGCAGCAGCATTTAACCGTCTCTTCTATAACAGACCTGCATCCGGAATACTCTTGAGGACGTGGAGCAGGGAATACAATACAACACGTGCTGATCAGTCCACCTGCAGGATATCTTAGCTCCGTGATGCCAGGTTCCTAGCCTCCCCATTCTTAACTGGACAGGATAACCACTGATTTCTCGAGCCCACTCTTCTCACTCTGCCTCCAGTTCATTTCAAAGGGAACACCTAGCTTTTGGCGAAGAATAAGCAAACCTACTAGAATCGTTTATTACTGGCCATCCCACACATCTGTCCTGGTTTTCTCCTAGTAATACACTTGAGCCCTTTACACAAAGCTTTATATACAATGGTTACAATACACACCGAGTATCAGGCAAACTAAATCCAACTCACTAAGTAGTATTCTTACAGTACCATGCAAAATTAAGCCATGTTACCTTGGGATAATTTGATCAGTCTGTTATTCAGCCCTCCATCTCCATCCACGATGTAAATATCTCCTGTGTCATCTACGTATAATTCTGCAGGGTTATCAAACTGCAGGGGATTCAAACCAGTGCCTTTTTTGCCTGGGGTACCCAAAACTTGAACAAGATCACCAAAGGAATTGTATTTTTTAATAGTATGACCGTAGGATCCTATAAAGACAGACATGCACATTTCACAAACATAACCACTGTACAAACATTCACATTTCTCAAGTAAGCTGAGAGCAAAAATTGGACAGAGTTAAATAGCAATAAAAAGTTTAAAAGCTCAGATAAGTAAATGTTATATTTGACAAGCAACAGAGCTTCTTCTTAGTTACAACCAAATCTATTTATGAATTAAAATCTCAGGTACTCCAAAATAAGTAGGTTCTAAAACCAAGTAAATAAAACTAAAAAAAAATTAACTCACTAAACAAAAGGCTGATGATGTAAAATTGTTGGTATACCAGTTTCTTTTTTAATCTTATGACCCTGTATAAGCATTACTTGTAAAAGAAAATCAGGAAGGAACTGGAAAAGGAACAATTATTGAAAACTGTTTTTTCAGTCGTTCATGGGCAGAGCTCCAATTTCAGTAGCTCAATGAGAAACTTCTCTATAAAACAGACTTCTGTTTACTTGCTTATAAAGGGTATTTATATCTATCCTGGTGTTAATATTTTTTAAGTTTTTTAATTGAGGTAACACTAGCCTATAACAATATAGACTTTTTAAAACTACATTTTCCCCTACTGAAAACAAATACAAAATTCAACCCATTAGCTTTCCTTTCCTAAAAAAGGGACAAATCTTTCCAAATCATCAGTATCTTATCATCTCGTGTTAAAATTTACTTGAATTCAAAGTACCTTACAAGCAAAAGTACAAAGTGGAATATTAATAGGGAAAAAATATAAAGCAGTTCACAGAAATCAATCTGAAGGCACACCACGACCAGCTAACTGGTCGGCATTCAAAGGGTAAACTAGGAACAATAAGCTCACTGGAAATAAAGTGAATCAGTTTGCATTACAATCCTATCTTGAAAATTGTATTTATTATTATACTTATTTTGGAGGCTTGAGCCAAAGTTTGTAACAATAATAAGAGAACAAAACACTAAAGCAAACTTCAAAGTTCCTAAAGAATTGGAAAAAGAAAGGGAATACTGTTAAATAATTTTTAAAAATGGCTGATATGCAGCCATGTTTTCCCTTAAGAGAATTTATTCTTTGAAAAATGGGAAGGAAGAGAAAAACTGTCTTCAGATCTGTGTGGAAAAATAAGCTGTAATGGAGAGAATGAAGAGGTCATGTGTGTTCTTATTTCTGGGAACCAGTGATGTCCATTATAAAAAGGATCACATGAATGGAATGAATTAAAAAGTAAAGGCTTCCTTTAACAGTAAATTCTGAAAAGGGGGGGGGGGGGAAGCAGCAGCAGCAAAATAATCAAATTTCATTAGAGTCCAACAATGAACTCAGAGGTTAACCTAGATTTTGGGGTTTCACCAGAATCTTACCATCCAAAATACAGCTGGAAATAAACGGATCACAGTCTGAGGCTCAGAAATCTTTTGGGTTCTGAGAACAGATATGGTAAGGACACTTCTCATAAAAACTGAGACCTCTTTAATTCCAAAATGATATCTGAATTAGCCAGAACTAGGGAAACAAGATGACCTTCAAGCCATGAATATAACTGGGCCAAGGATTACTAGAAATACTGTCTTTAAGATTCCACTCCTTCAAGGACCTACTGTATAGCACAGGAAACTATATCCAACTTCTTGTAATAACATATAAATGGAAAAGAATCTGAAAAGAAAAAATATACATGTATGCATATGTATAACTGAATTGCTGTACACCTGAAACTAACATTGTAAATCAATGACACTTCAATAAAAAATAAAATTTTTAAAAATCCCATTCCTTCCTGAGATCCTGAGATAATACCAAGCTATCGCTAAAGCTATCTGGTTTGAAGCCACAACACACACAAACTGCTATCTCTGAAAACTTATCGCACAGCTGTCAATTCAATTGTTTTGCAGTACATTCGACTAAAAATATTTGACGGAAGGAAGGTTTCAGACATGCTGCAGCCAGTGGGATTTCAGAAACATTATCACCAGCAGTTTTGCAAATCTTGCAAATGGCAAATGGGCAAGAAAGCAGTTCTGGTTTCTCAGCACAATCTCTTTTGAAAGAGAAGTCGTAAAAGAAAATGACAGCAAGGACTCCATTCATCAGCTTTTAGAAATTTCCATTTTATAGCATAAGGCTTTACAGCATATAGGATTCATAGAAGATGTTTAGAATTATTTAAACTGAGAAGAGCAGCTGATGCTTTAAAGAGGACAAGTCCCTTGATAAAGGAAAGATCATAATAATTTATAGCCTTCTTTTCTACAAAAGTATGTTTTAAAGATTTTTAGAAATAAATGATTTCATGAATCATTAAAGAAGTTACAGTTAGATTCGGCCACTCTGTTTTTAAAACGGACAAGCAAGAACATGGGCAAAGATGATTTCTAGCAAGACAGGTTAATAGATATTACTACACATACCACTTCCTACATCCGTGATCCAGACGGATTGTTCATGTAGTGTACTGGCTGCAAATATACCATGAGGTGTGTCAACTGTATAATTCCAGGCTCGTAGGAAATATCCATCCTCTGTGAACACTAATACCTTTGGGATGTTATCCCCTCTCTGAAGGTATACAAAAATAACCGCTTAGATAGGATCAGTTTTAAGAAAGCGATCTTTATTTTGGCAGAGAGAACAAAAATTAAAGTTAACCGAGAAATTTAGTAACGTTTAAAAAAACCCCAGCTTACCTAACAATATTAATATCACATTCAAAATCAAAATACTAACTTTAACTCAAAAAACAAATTCCACATTTGGCGTAATATAAACGTATAGTTACTTCGCACAGTAAAACAGAAAAGCTGTTTTCTTTGTGTTCATAACTTACTTTTTTTAATCCCATTTTTACTTACTTGGGCTACGTAAACCAATCCGTTTAAGGAGTCAACTGCAACACAAAACGTTGCTCCAGTAAAGTATTCTGAGTACATAGGCCAATCCACATCCAGCCGGTAAAGGATTTCCTCAGAGCGCCAGGAAATTTTAAAGGCAAAGTGAAGATGTGGAGGGAGCTGGGGAAGAAGACAAAATATGGAAAATGCCAGTGTATCACAATTACAAATGTTTTTAACTTAGGCAGTTCAGCCCGCTGCAGGTTTGAGCCGAGCTAGTGTGAGAGCCAGGACCCACCACCTCCTTCCCAAGACCGCCTTCCCAAAGTGCTACTCACACACCTGACGGCTATTTCACTTTCCAACTCACCCGAAAGCCACAAAAACGAGAATGTAAAACCAGAAATGCAAGAAAGAAGCCAGCGCCGGCCACGCAAGCCCAGAATCTCGCCATGACCAGACGGGAAGCCTGGCCAGGCGGATCGGCAGGCGGCTGGTGGCGGCCAGACAGCCCCAGGTCCACGCGGCTCGTCGCTGCACTGAGCCCCTATCTCCAATCCCCCTTCGCTGGAAGCGCCAGAACCATTAGAGAGCACAGACCGGGAGGAAAGAAAATCAGAACTGGGGTTCCGGATTCCGAGCGCCTTCCCGGGCCCCGCCCCCACGTCACGTGCCTCGGGTTTACCCAGTGACCACCTTTCGGGCGGTCCACAATGTGGCTTTCCCAGCCCGCCAAAATCAGGGCGCCCTTAGATATGCCTTTACCACTCGGCGTTCATTCTTTTAAAACTGAGATCTTACTATCAAAACCTAGCACAATAAAACCAAAGAGATAAAGATGTGACCCTCCAGGAGTGAATGCCAGGCTCTGGGAAGGACTTCACCAGCATCCAATTCCGAGACATCCAGGCGTCCGCTATGGACATCTACATTCCCACACCAGGACCCCGCCATAGGCTCTCAAACAGAGTGGCCTAAGCTGGCGGCGCACAGTTAAGTTTACTCGGGCGCGACGGGCTCTGCCGAAGGCCCCCGTGAGCCGAGCTGGGGGAGCTGTAGGGATAACCAGGAAGGGCCCCTGGCGTTGTCGGTCGTGCGGTGCTCGGGAGTCCCCCTGGCAGGGTCCGTGCCCCCCTTCGCCCGGCTCCCGGTGTTCTCCAGCCGCCGGCCCGCTCCCGGAAGCCGAGGCAGCTGGTAACAAAGAGCCTGCCAGGCCGCCGCTGCCGGGGCCGCGGGACCCAGGAGTCCGGCGGAGCTGCTGGGAGTGGGAGCGAGCCGGGCCATGAGGCCAGGTTCGCGGCAGTGAAGGGCGGCAGCCGAGGCGCTGGTGCGGGCCGAGAGATCGGTACCTCCCTGCTCGCCATCCGTGGGACTCGGGGCGCGAGTGCCTCTGCTCTCCCGGCCACTCCACCTGGGAAGGCGGCTTCGCGACGTTCCCCGGCGGCGCCTGGCCTTCAGCTGCCAGGACCGACCCTCAGCCCCGGCTCGGAACCCCGGGTTTCTCTGCAGGACTCAGAGAAGACCCGGCTCTTAACACGCGGGGTCCTGAAGCTTTCTGCAAAGAAGCTGGGGAAGCCTGACGGGTTTTGTTTTTAATAAAAAGTTTTTATAAGTCTCCATTTTTAGAAATTTTTGCAGAGTTTGAAGTGCTCTACCTCTTCGCATCCTTTCTCCTGCTCCTTGGGTCTTTTTTCCTTCTCAGCTGTAAACATTTTTACTATCGGAGCAGACCAGGGATGAACGTTTTGTAGTTGAAAGTGTAACTCTTAAAACCTCGTGGAGATAGTAGTCAAGATGGACAAAAAGTCCTTTGAAACGGTGCTGGATGAAATTAGAAAGGTAATTGCACTTAATTCCTTTGATCAGTCTAAAAGCTAAGAATTCTCATGATTTACTCTCTCCGAGGGACTGCTTGCAGATTGTGTAAAGTAAGGGTTTTAAGATTGCAAAACTCGTTGGAATTTTAACGTATAGCGTGCAAGTTTATGT